GCAGTTCCAGGCAGATTTTTCACAAAGAAATTATCAATTGAGTATAAAAAGGAAAAGAAGACATAGAAGGAGAGACCCCGAATCAAACACTCTCAACAGAGAATATGTAATTTCAATTTTTTAGTTTAACTTTAATCACTTCTTTTAGTACTCGTGTGCTTGTACCCCTTGAAAGCATTCTGTTTATTTCTAATTGTAAATCATCGCCAATAAAACACTCATTTTTGAGACTTTGTCTCAAGAGGTCTGTTCCTTACATAATCGTCTGAATCCCTTTTTAATTGATAGCGACAACCCGCGCAAAACACATTTTAATAATTATTTATTTGTGTTTAATATATTCTTCAAAAGTAATGTTTGAAAAATCTCGTCTAGGCGCATCGCTTAAGCTCGAAGCTTGGACAATCCACCTCTTTCGCGCTTAAACGTTTTTTTTTTTCAATTTCTAAACAGCTGAATTTTTTCCTTCCTCTCTTTCGTCTTCCCTATGCATACTTTATTAATTTTTTTTATTTTTTCCATTTTTTTAAATGGACTTAAATACAAGTCAATCTAAAATCTCTAACTTAAGTAGCACTAAGTTTATTTATTTATTTAACCAATTATAGACCTTAGATCTTATGGTGCGTTTAATTGCGAGAATGTAATTTGCATGGAATGAAAAATTACCTAGAACTTATTTATATGGAAATTATTAATTAAATGTGTTTAATTGATTTAGTTTTCAACTTAGAAACTATTATACTTGTCCATTTTAATGGTAGGTAGATGGGAGAGAGGATAGATGGAAGAGAGAGTGTGAATTACTTGGAAAATAAAAAGTAAAAACCACATCTTCCTAAAGAAAATATATTCCTTATTTTCAACGAAAATATGGTCACGTGATAAAAAATAGGAAAATATTTTCTTTAAAAAAATTGTCAATCAAACAGTACAAAAGTAGGAAATTAATGATGGATACATGTTTCATGAAAAATATTGGTAATCAAACGCACCCTTACTATAACATAAATTGATGTTAAGCATCCGTGCTATTATATACCATTACCTTCTAAATGCTTATTA